CTCATTTAGGTTTTCTCTGTTATAACAACAAATCTAACCATAAGCCTCAATGCTTGCGTAGAATGGTGTCGGGTCAGGGCTAAAAATGGAAAACCAGACGAGAAAGTGCCTCTTAGATTTCTGTATGGACACATGTCGGAGTTGGGTGTGGAAATCAGTGAAAGTGCTGAGTGTTCTCCACTAGAGATGTAACACAGTAGTTTAGAGTGGAAAATTCTAGGATGCTGCCCAATGAGGGAATGAAATAGAAAAGTCAAGGGAAAATACTTCCCCCAAACCCACTTTTCAGGAACTGCAGAAGGAAATTTCAGGAAATTTGGGGAGAGCAGTTTGCCTCAGGAGTCTTAAGGCCTTTCTATTTAAATTTAGTTGATAGGTAAAAGACGTAATTCTCTGGCAATCTACATGATACTGGGGGAGATTTCACAGCAATGCCTATTCATCACAGCTTCTAAGGGGATGTTTGGTGGTTTCAAGTAGGTAGTGGCATGCTTATTGCTCAATGGAAAACCTATTTTTAGTAAAGTTTCTAAGCAGGAAGTCACATTTCTCATCAAAAGGTATTTAAGATGCTCCTCCCATGGCCAGGATATTGATACAATGCTGATTGGCCAAAGAAGACACATACCTACAAATTTCCAAAGCACTATACCCTGACCCAGAAGACTCAGGCTAGAGAGACAGGTAACTACAATGCCCCATAGCTTTCTAAAAGATTAGTAGTAAGACAGGTGGCTAGCAAAGAAATGCTTCTATGGAAGTGGGCAGTAGACTTGTTACCTAAGGCTGTACTTGAGCTAGTAGAACACAAACAAACAATGAAGAGTTTGCTAAGAGTTCACAAAACACTTGCTATGCAAAAACAGACAGTACAAAACAAGCCAGTGTGAGGCACAGATGTGTCTCCATGTTGCAAAATCAAAGCCTAGTGTGAATTACAAGTAATTCCCAGCCCACCTTGATTATGGTTGTCACTAGTTCATTAGGATAATCTGGAGATTACTGTGGAAGTTCCTTTATGTCTTCTAAAATTTATTGTGCACATGATATGCACACACTTGTGTATGTATGCATATAGAGAAATACCTTGATATCCAGAGTAGGCAAAATGACAAGTGTATCATTCCTCATTAATCTCACATATTGGATATTTTTGACTGAATTTGGGACATTGTACACTATTACAAGAATAAAATCATGATTGACAGTTGTACAAGGGAAACAAGGCAAGGGGTGAAGGCAGAGTAATGTAGGATTTGGGAGGAAACTAACTGATACTTATCTAATGCTCTTTCCTAGATTGTAAAACATTTTTCACTCTGTTTACGCTAGATGAGATCTATGTGACATATTGGAGCATAAAGTGTTGGAAGGTCTAAAGGAAAAGGAGTTAACCCCTCTTCTACCTCCATGGACAAATGATTCATCTGCCAGAGCAGCAGTTTTATTTTTATAGAGGGAAATATCAATATATGGCTGCTTGATGATCAAACGTAATGTGTGTACACCGTGAAGGAGCACACTTAGGTCCCTCATGAACTTTAGTGTAATTTAGTCAATAACTGAACTAGTCAAATTATTGTAAAACTCACTCTGAATTCAAAGCAGCCCAGCTGTGAGTTAGAGCTGCTTATTCAAGTATATATCGGGTCCTCTTAAAAATATTGATAATACAGAACTTCTTTTATTAGTTTTTCTCCAATACCCCATTTTTCATTCTTGAATGAAAATTACTAGGTCTAAGAATACAGTTCCATGATAGAGTGCTTGCCTGGCATGTACACGGTGTTGGGTTTTATCCTTGCACCACAAAAAGTGAGGATTTTTGGTTATTGTTTAGATTCATAATTTAATTTTTAATATTTATAGATCTTTATACCTCTAAATAGTTATTAAGTTTTATCACTCTTTTGAGAAATAGTATCCTCCTTTTTTCTCTCAATCTATTTCTAACCTGTCCTTCCAATGATTTAAGCTTATCTTGACTTTTCTGTTTCCTGAAGCACTGTCTTATATGTGATATTTATTTGGGCATCTCTCCCTGTGTATAAGGTTCCATTTGACTGGAATGACCAGTTCCTTGGCAGGTATAATTTTTTAATACCTCCATGCTCCCAGCACAATAGTGGTCAGATAGTAAATGTTCAGATTACCTTTTCTAGTTGTACTTATTTTTTTAAATATAATTCCCAAATAACTGATCCAGAACAGGTCATAAAAACAAAAGTTTGAGTTTGGTTCTCATTTATCTCTTGTCAAATCCTGAACTGTCATGTGCAATTTTCATAGCTTACACTAAAAAGGTACCAATCATGGCTCATTTTCCTAGAATTGAAGAAAAATCTTCTCTACTTTCACCCATCCCAACTAGATGTTTCTCCATTTCTAGATCCTGTTTAATGAAAACTGAAATGTAGTCTTTTTGAGATAAATGTGTCATCTTTCTGCAGATACTATCAGAAGGATAAAATAATTAGGTAGGATATACCAGAGTCAACACTGGTTAAGGGTAGAAGGAAAAATTAGTTTCATTTGGGACAGTTTTTCTGTGAATAAATATTTATGGAAGTAAGTAAGCAGGAGGAGCTCCATCTAAAACTAGGAGAGACAGGAAACAGCAAATCAGAGAAGCAAAAAGGAAATGCCTCAAGTTTTCAACAAGCAATTTAAAATACTACATTTTTGTATAGGTATTGTAGGCATGGTACAAGCACAAGACCTAAAGGATCAAAGTATCATTCTTCTACAGCCAGTTTGATATTCATCTTTGCCTTATAGCATTTAGTACCAGCTGTAAAGACATCTGTTGCACTGGGAAATTCTTCTCACGTGATTATCGCTTCAGGGATAGTTTAGTGATCATGAGAAAATACAGCGAAGTTAAAATGGTGCTAACCAAGTGAGAAATATTGCTGCAAATAGATTCATGCTAAAACAGGCTAGTGGAGTTAAAAAATAGTTCCCTGGGCTTAGATTTTTCCACCCCATCATTAGTGGCCACTCAGTCTCTTTTATCCTTAGCTTCCTCTTTCACGAAGGAGGATGTTCAATCTTTTTATTCTAACTTTAGAAATTTTCGTTTTAATCTTAGATTAAAAATTTTTCTCCACAACACTCTTGGTGTACTTCCTTTCATTTAAGTGAACTTTCATTGACTTATTTTCTGCAGGAAATACAATGAATGTTTTTGTTCTTTTCTAGGATTTCATAATTCAATTAGCTTTTACCATATTTCTAAAGATGGTGGAGAAAACTTAAATTAACACTGATGGGGATATCTCTTATAAGATGTCCTTTCACATTTATTTCATCCCTGCCAAAAGTGGAAATTTTCTCCACTTTACAGTTAAGGAAATTGGAGGATGGAAAAGTCAAGGAACCTGCCTGGAGCCCTGGAGCAGGGAAGGGCTGTATAGCACTAGGCGTTGCTCTCAGGTCAGCATGATTAAAAAACCCAGGCTCTTTCTTAGCACAGATGGTGGCATTCTATTTTAAAAAAGGTAGGTATTCAAGTTTACCACATGGAGAGCCTGAGGTGTAGAGAACCAGAAGACTTCCTCAATTTTATAGTAAATCAGCACTTTGGATGCCAGGAACCAAAACCCCTGTTTTTACGCAAGAGAATGTAAGTTCAGGCAGGGGAGAGGGGGCAGAAAAATAGCCTTTTATAATACTACTTTTTCTATTTGATGTCAGCATCAGTGCCTCAGAGTTTTTTTTTTTTTTTTTTTTTTTTTTGGTACCAGGAATCGAACTCACAACCTTGTGCTTGCCAGGCAGGTGCTTTGCCGCTGAGCTAAATCCCCAGCCTCAAGTGCTTCAGAGTTTAAAAAGGTAAAATACGAGAAAATTGAGTTCTTTGTATTTATAATTTTTTATTTTTTTTGTTTTGCTTTGCTTTTTCTTTTTGAGACAGGGTCTCACTCTTGAGTTCAGGCTGGCCCTGAGCTCACTTTGTAGCCCAGGCTAGTCTTGAACTTACAGTGATCCTCCTGCCTCAGCCTCCCGAGTGCTGGGATTACAGGCATGTGCCACCACGCCCAGCCTTATAATTTTTTATTAAAATCTAATAAAACGTTTATTTTTTTCTAGAAACTATCTCAGAATAAATGCGTTTTATATACTAGAAACTACTGAAAGTTTTTTTTTTTTTAACATTTTTTTTTGAGACAGGGTCTCCCTAAGTAGTCCAGACTGGCTGTAAACACATTATGTAGCCCAGACTGGCCTGAAACTCACAGTGATCCTCCTGCCTCAGCCTTCCCAGTACTGGGATTAGGGATGTGCACAACCACACATAGCTGAAGTGTTTTTAACCATAGATTAGATTTGATTTTTCCAACTTTATTGTTGTTGGTGTTTTATTTTGTTCTTGAGACAGGGTCTCACTATGTATTTTAGGCTAGCTTTAAACTCACTATGTAGCTCAGGCTGGCGTTGAACTCAAGGTGACCCTCCTGCCTCAGCTTCCTGAATGCTGGGGTTACAGGTGTGTCCCGCTCTGCCTGGCTCCAACTTTATTGCAGTACATTTGACAAATAAAAATTGTATGCAGATAAGGTGTACAACGTGATGACTTCATTGACACTAGTCTCAAGTTCTCCAGCTCCCCAGCACCCTGCCTGACACACGCACGACATCTGGAGTCTCATACGGCTTACTTTCAAACATTATTTCATCTTAGGAAAATAATTCAAAGTGCTCTCATAGATGAGCATTGATTATCTTACTCTCCCTGGGCTCACTGTACACATGAACTCTACTTCCTCTTTTTTTTAGGAAAGCATTTTTCCCCCCTCTGAACTTCCTTCGTATTGGTGTTTTTTTTTTATTCCTCCCCTGTGTTTGTGTTGGCTTTATGCTTTCCATTCCTTTTGAAATTTGGCCTAGTGCCACGTACGAGTCAGCACTTAGCCTGGAAGTATCGTTTTGGAACAGTGTCTGAAGGAAAACTCCACCTCTCACACCCACTACTAATTACCATACTACGCACTACAAAACATGACATTGCATCGTTCACCCATCACTTGTGAGTATCTGCTGTCCACAGCTCTCATTCCTTCAGAGAAAATGAGTTTGAGCCACATAGAGACTATGTCTCTAAGACACTCAAGTCCTCAAGATACACGGAGATCATCCTGGAAGCCCTGGTTGTGCATAGCAACAGCTATTTTGATTTGCTTCTTCAGTGCACTGGTCCTTACTTTGTTCCCACTCAAGGTAAGGAGGTAACAGAACCTAAGATTCTTCTTTATTTTGATCTTTTACTTGTTAGTCTAATTATTATCATTGTCATTCAGTGTTTGTGATAGTTGGAAGAGACCTGTGAGTACAAATAATGTAAATATAATTTTATTCTTGTCATGACATGACTTTTGGAGCTATTTTAGTGTTCTTGAGACAAAAAGATATTAGGAAATGCTAAGTATTTGTTGCAGAACTGAGCTAAATGGAGAGAATCGTTTGATTAAATCAGTCAGTGGTCAGGTAGCTAGTCTATCTCTGAACAGGGAAATGGTACTGAAGTAGGAGTAACAAGATCTAGAGTTTAGTTCTAGATCTCCAAATAATCTGCTGTACAAGAGTGAGAAACCTGCTTAATCTCATTGGTTTTCATTTTTTGCATCAGAAACATGGTGGTAGGGGGAATGAACTTGTTTATTATAATGTGCTCGCTAACTCTAAAATACAGTGATTAATGATTTACCTAAGGGTGGTATAGAACAGAATTTTTAGGAATTCAAATGTGGGTATAATAACTTTGGGCTAGAGTGATCTAGGAAGGCTTCATGGAGGAGGAAGGAAACACATGTCTATTTGGGAAGCCCCTAATGCTTATCAGGAATTTCCCATGGAACTTCAGTCCAAGTTACAGGCCTACAAAATGGGATTTTACAGTGGGAATGGAGCTAAAGTAGTTCTCTACTAGTTTTTCATAGCACTAACCCAAGAGAAAATAAGAAACCTGTTATACAGTTCAGGAGTTAGCCCATTTCTGGGTCTGATTGAAAACCCAGCCTCGGGGAGAGTAGCATGATATATACCCTTATAAGAAAGGGTTGGAATGTGACTGCTGAAACATTTTTCCAAGGAGACTGACCAAGGGAGATTTCAGATATGCATATCTATCACTTAAGATATTGCAAAGCAACAGAGAAAAGATGCTGGAGGAAGCTGTACACTGTGCATACTAGTTTAGTTGGAATAAGTATAGTGTTGTCCAGATTTTTGCACAGAAGACCATTAATTTGTATCCCATAACTGTAAGCAAAAATATGAAACAGGCATTTCTAATTGTGGTCTGCTCTCTGAAGGAATATGTCAAGCAGAAGGGTGAACTTTCTGGAGCAGTGAAGTTTGAGGTGAAGGAAAAGAATGTTAGAATTTCTGAGTGGTTAGAGTTTTGGAGAGCAAGGATGAAAATAGCAATACCAAATTTGGAAGTGACTTTTCCTTCTAAAAACCACCCCAAGTTTCATTAGCCAGATAGCTCTGAAGAACATCAGATATCATCAGCTCCTTCATATGACTAGATGAAGATGGAAATGCCTCTCTCAGTGACCCCTCTTGCCAGAATTGAGCTTGGTTAACCCACATTTGGAGCTGTGATTCTGGATTCTCTTTCCTAAAAAGCATGTAGCCTTGTAACGAAAAGTTTTGCCTCTATCGACAGCCCAGCATTTGCACCAAGTTTAGGGAACTATGAAAGGTATTTTGGATAGTTTCCTCACATAATGCTTGGGAAATTAGTTCCTATGGGCAAGCCAATGACTTAGCTGACAATGCAATGATATTAGCTTGTGCTTTCTACTTTGCACTGGCCTGCACTTCCCTTTTCCTACTGGCCACAAATATCTTCAGAAAAAAGATTTGAGTGGTTGGCGGATGGTGATTCATTATGAAGTAGCCACTTCCACCTTCTCAAGATACTCACACATCTAGAAGTTTTGTTTCATTTTGTTCTCCCAGCTAGTGTTTACTTACAAAGCCTCATTCTCCACATGCTCTAGACACTAATTTAAAAAGTGTTAGGTTGGAAGCACGGCTCCTTCTAGAACAGCAAAAATTTCTTTGGAAAAATATTTTTTCTCCTCTTCTGCTCCTCCAGAAAAGGACAGACTTTGGGCACAAGGAGCTCAGTCAATGCCTAAGTGAAAATAACTTTATAGAAGTTGTTGCTAAGAATTGAATGTTTAGGAAACTCCACTTCTTCAGCGGAATGAAGGATGCTTTCAGAAGCGAAAGTTGTACTTGCACTCAAAAGCAGAGTAAATTTTATTTCTAATGGTGACCTGATTAGGGTTTGTTTAAAGAAAGAATTATTAAATTTTGGCCATTTTGAGTCCAAATATGATACCAAAGTGAGGTTATCAAAGGCTTAAACCAAAGTGACGTTAGAAGAACAACTGCTCTTTGTAAACTAAACTAAACTAAACTAAAAACTAAACTAAACTAAACTAAAGTAAACTAAAAAGTCTGATGTGTTTCTTTATAAGTATTTATTCCTTCCCAGTATCACCAGCATTATAAATAGAAACTTCTCTACTGAGTAGTAGAGGTTGGAGTTTTGAGTGAGACAGACTGTTTGGACCTCAGCCTCGGCTCTTAGCTGCATAACTTGGGCTAATTACCCAACCCTTCTCATTCTCATTTCCTCATCTTCAGAATGAGCATGCTCATTCTCACAGAGCTGTCTGAAGGACTAGTGAGACAGTACAGTGCTCGACCTACTAGACATGTGGTAGCCTTTCAGTAGGTGGTAGCAATTCATACTTGCACCATTTGCTATGAATGAGATTACAAGGAGTACAGATTTAACACATTTTAACACACAGATTTTCATTGCCAATCTGTATTCCTTCTCAATCAGTGATCAGGCCTCTCAGTCAAACTGATAATTTTTCAGATTTTCACTTATGGCAGTAATTACAGAACCTAAAGAAACATAGCTGTAAACGGACATTAAAGCAGCCTGTAATACAGCATCTGGAATTTCTGGTTCTGGCAGTTAATTTGCGTATGACCTTTTCTGTGTATTCCTTATTTCTGCTAGTAGCTGGCACACGATCTGTGGTACATGTTTTGGTATTTATATTTACATTGTTACCTAATTACTTCATGTACATAATCATGTCTTTTAAAAAGATTGTAAATTTCTTGAGAGGCAACAACCATACATTAAATTTGTCTTCCTTGTTTACAGGGTTAGTATAATGTTGGGATATAGGTTCAATTCTTCATTATGATTAGCCTCATTACTAAAACAGCAAATACTTATCAAGCAGGTGCGGACTGGATATCTGGGAAGGCCTTTTGCAGCAAGAATAACCTCATTAACACCACAATCTTCCATGAAAGCTTTGTATTATTATTACCCCCATTTTATAAATAAGGAGTTGGGCATAAGGGAGTATGTGTAGGGCTGTGGATGTAGCTAGGTGGTAGGATGCTTGTCTAATATCTGCAAGGCCCTGAGATTTATTCTCAGTCCAGGGGGAAAAAAAGAGTTCCCTTTACACACACCTATTAATGGTTGAATGAATTTCAGCATCTCTTATAAGTATAGCAAAACAAGAATGAAATAATTTCAAGAGCAAAATCCAATGGCAGGGAATCCAGTGATTCCAGTGAATCCAAGTGATTTCTTTTCTTAGAACTGTGGCTTCCAGGTTTTTAAATTGTACCTCCTATCAATGAAATATTTTCATTATAATTTCTAACATATGTATAGCAATTATTATATTAAGTACTAATACTATACACTAAATAGGTATTGTGCATAAAATGAAAGGTCATAAAGGTAAACTAGATAATGTTTAATGCATTTTTTCAGGGTAAAAGCCATTTGCTTTTAGCAAGATGTCCTATGTTCTATAACACATTAATCTATAATATAAAGATGCTAAAATAATTGAAATAATGTTTTAGTGACTTGATAAATGTGCTTATTTTATTTTCTTAGTTTAAGATTTTTGTGATAGAGCAATGTGAAATCTATATGCTGTTTAATTTACTTTATTCTTTTTCACTGTAACGGAAAAATTACTTCACAGAAAGATATAGATCAAAATGATAGAATGTATCATTTTATGTTTATAAAATGAAATGACAGTGGGGCTGGGGATTTAGCTCAGTGGCACAGCGCCTGCCTGGCAAGCGCAACGTCATGGGTTCGATCGCCAGTTCTGGAAAAAAAAAAAAAAATGAAATGACAGCATTCAATCCATCATCTGATGATGTGAAGAGTTTTTAATTAAAATAACATTGGCCCTCACATGCTGTGCTTTTCCCTCCTTGCACAACGAAATTCCAGTCTGTAATTGTAGCCCCTCCCTTGCATAAACTCCCTGCTTACTTTCTTTTCCCTTCAGTATACTTTAATGTCAGAATCGCAACTATGGAAAACTTCTAATACTGATTAACCCAACTGTTCCATGTTTTGGAAGAAATGTGCAAGATCTTCCTGAAAGGTCTTAACATTAAATTTATGACCCCTTCAGGGCAGGACCTTCAGTGTTGCTCTGGAAGAAGCCTCTATTTCTCAATCCCTTCATTCTCCTCCACTGGGATATTTCATACTTTTGGCTCGTCTTCAAACATCCGATATTTCTTCCTCACTCTCCCTGTCAACTGACAACTTTGCCTTCAGGTACCCAGAAAAAAATAGAAGCAGGGAGGAAAAGAGATCCAAAGTCCCCATATCTTCCACTCGCCTGAGTCTGTGTTCACAGGTGTGCATTCTCTCTTCCTTCTGTACAACTGTCTATGCACCTGCCACAGTTACCTATGTAGTAGATCTTAGCCTCTCTTGCCTACTCGAGGATATTGTTCCTACCAGTCTCCCCCACCCTTTATCTATCAGTTCTGCCTCATTTCCCTGAAATATTCCTACTATTTTTCTTACATTAAAATGAAAGAAAACCAAAGCCAAAACCAAAAACCAACCTCATTGACCTCTCATCCCAAACCAGATTCCATTCAATTTTTCTGCTTTTCCTAAAGCAAAATTCTTCCAGTTTCTCTTTTTCCATTTACCCCTAAATACGGTCTAATTAAACCTCTGCTCTTATCATTACATCGTAGAAACTAACGAAGGCCTCCAGTGGCTACCATATTGATAAATCCACCCTTCAATTCACTGTTCTCTTCTGTGTTGGTTTATCAGCAGCATTTGAGCCCAGCTGATCATTCCTCTTCCAAAATACTTCCTGCCTCTGGTTTCCAAATGCCACCCTCTCCTAGTTCCTTTCAAACTCGCTGGCCTTTCCTTCTTAGATTCCTCTTTCAATTCTTCCTCATTCACTCTCATCTAAATATCGCAGTATCCCCGTATTCATGTCTGCCTCCCCTCCCAGAATTATGGTCTCATATAACTTCGTGACTTAAAGCCATGACCTGAAACTGGTTAAATTTATATCACAGACTTTCTTAAATCCCAGCCTCATATATTTAACTGCCTATTTGACACCCTTACTTGAATATCTGATAAGCATCACACGGTGTCTAAAACCAGACTCATCATTCCCTGCTCAATGTATCCTACTTAAATGTTGCCATTTTAGTGATTTGCAGCTTTCGCTGTCTAATCCCGAGAGCCCACATCTTGGGGTCATCTTTGTCGCTGCTCATTCTCTCCCCTCATAGTCATGTCAGGAACTGCAGGAGGCCTTGCCATCCAAACGCTCGTCACCGTCTCCACCGGCAGCACCTTGGTCAGAGGCACCACGTTCTCTTGCCTAAAACGATTACCACAACCTTGGATTTTGTCTCACTGCATTTGCCGCTGCCTCCTTTACTTTATTTTTAGCACAGCAGCAAGAGAAATCTTTAAAATATGCAAAATCTTGAAGTAAAAAAAAATGCCTTTCTGCTACAAGGAAACCAATGAACTTTGAGTACAAACACTTTTTGTGGTTAGGCCTTATCTTACTAAAAACTGTTTTGGAGTTTTAGTATTGAAAATACTTGTATTGGTAAAATTAACCACTACTGATGGTATCTTTCACTATGTAAACTGTAGTACGTTGCAACAGTTTGAAAGTATCAGATCTGATTCTTAGGGTATCTTAGTTACTGTATATGACACGTGATTACCTGAATAGTAAGTAAGGATGGCTTTATCAAGTTGCAAAGATTTATAGAGCTCAATTTCTTATTATTTTAAATAAAGATAAGCATAAATAGACGCTTCAGTGTTTTCTTCCCATATATCAATAGATCACCTTGTGGTTCATTAAGATGTGGTGGCTGCTGTAGTTTAAACTACAATGTAGTTTTAAATATAGAACGACTGTAAGAGAAAATAACTCAGCCAAGAAGAAAATTCCCTAGCCAAGAGGTAGAGGACCAAGATCCAATGTTTGTCCTGTGGCTAGCAGGAAGGTGGATGAAATGAGAACCTAGCTTTGTAAAGAGAACCAAAGGACAGCTATGTAGTGAGAAGTAGCCAGCCATCTGCAATGGGAAGCTGAGAGGAATACAGGGTGGAGGGAGTGACCTTTTAAAAATAGCCATAGCAAAGGAGTTTGATTCAGGAATGTAAGGCTGTAAATAAATCAGTCAAGGGAGTAGTGACACTGTTGCTATGCTGACCAAATTCTTTTTTTTTCTTCCATGACAGACTGCTAAAGGATTCTGTATGGCTAAGTTTGGTGAGTATCCTACCTTTAATGTATCCTTCTTACTTTTCTTAGTTTTTGATACAATAAGGGAGTGTCAGTACTCTCAAGAAGGCTTCTACTCACTCTTTTGCTCATTTTCAGCTACTATTTATAATTATTTATCATTTGTTGAGCAGCAGCCTAGGAGCAGAGGCTTTTGGAGGTGAACCAGAGGGATGAGCCCATCCCCTGAGAAAGCTCATTTCACACTACGTCTCTGGGCCGGGAAGCACATTACATTGAAAGGCTTGCAAATTGGAGACACAGGAATCAATTTCTGTGTTTTACTAAGGAGAACAAGTTTCAAATTTCCATAATGTTTCTTCAAAGTACAGCTCACATATTGCCAATGTCCATAGACTATGCGGGGGACACAAGGAAAACAGCAGTGTTATCAGTAAATGTATCGGAAGAGAAGTGAGAGTTACGAATGGCTACTTCCTCTGCTCATTTCTCCTCTTCCTCTTCTCTTACCTCCTGAGTCATTTTCTCTTATAGTCGCTCGATATTTAAAACTACATTGTAGTTTATAGCTACACTGAGTCTTAGAATATTTCTTACAACACATGCAATACTTTCCGTAAATGCAGTTTTGTTGTTCACAGGTTTCAAGGTGAACGAATACATATTTTCACCTGAGAGCAGAATATTAGAATTGACTACTAACTCTGTAGCCATAGTGTTCCTATGTCATTCAAATTGCTAGGTTTTCATGGTTTGTGGGGATTAAGACTTTTTTATTTGTCCCCACTTTGTGTGTCATTTGTTTTGTTTTGTTTCTTCAGTGAAAGGAATGGAACTCATGAGTTCCTCACTGATGTAGTAAAAACTGAGAACCTCAATTGACGAGTTATCTTTAAGTGACCCCATCACTGAATTAAATAGGAGCAACATTAATAGTTTTCTTTGGTGAATGGCCTATTATATGTCAAGGAGGAAGAAAGGTACTGGATCCTGAGCTTATTGGAGATATAGGAGGGCAGGTTTCTTGTTCTAGTGATCTTTCCTTCAGACTCCTCAGAAACTACTTTCCAAGTTTTACATTAGTCATTTAAATATGAATGAGAATTTGAGTCTCAGTGTTGTTTTTTCTAAGGCTTTGCCCCCTACCACCAAAATTATGGAGAATTAGAGAACAAGCCAGATTAATATTTTAGTGGAAAAACACATCCAGAGGCCCTGAAATCATATAGCTCTTCAAAACCAATTAACATTAGGTAAATATTTTTATGTCTTATGTACCTATGGAAATGAATGACAAGGTCTGGGCCCTTTCTTGACCCTTTGCAATGGTATTAAACTAGGAATACTTACATTTACATAGTCAAGTGATATCTACTTATAAACTCATGAATTTACCTATATGTATATTGGAGAAGTTTGGATAACGATATCTGAAGTGGGTTCTGAATGATATATGCCTATAAACCGATAAGAAAATCCATAATTTAGACACAAAGCATCTAATTCAGGAACATGAAAGCTATGATTCAATGCAGAAATATTGTTAAGATTGGGATAGAAGGATCACTTGAGCTAGTGAGCTGGTTCAAATCCAGCCTGGACAACATAGTGAGTCCTTCCCACCCATCTCAACAAAGAAACAAAGAACTTTATTGAGCACATGGGAGGCTCAAGAAATTTTTGGGTGCTTAAGATACAGAAATGAGCAAACTGTAGATACTCTCAAAGATGTTATATTCAATTGGATCTAAGATACATACTAAACTGATGAATAATTTATAATATATTAAGTGCTAACCCCTTCTTTAAAGAAAACTAAAGTAGGGTAAAGATGTGACAGGGGAGCACTATTCTTTATAGATTGGTTAGGGAAAGTGTTGCCTTGATACACAGCGAACAGTAAGCAGACAAAGCATGGCGAATCATCAATTGCCAACTCCAGTTGTCATAATCTTGGGGTATAATTCTTCTCTCCCTTTCTCCTTTCTTCTTTCCACAAATATTAGTTAACAAGAGATGCAGAACCATTTAACTCATTTTTCTATCCCCAGTCCATTTCCTTAGACTCTCCTACCAAGAGATATGTTTAGGACTTGCAATCTGTCTAAAACAAGGATAGTACTGAAAATATTAGAATTGTAGCTAAAAAAAAAAATAGTATAAACCAGGTAAGTCGTAAGGAATTTGCTATAATGACAAAGAGGATAAAATAATAAATATGGTTTGCATTTTTCTCCCCTGTACATTTCTTATAGGACCTCTACCCTCAAAATGGCAGATGGTATCTCCTGAACCTCCTTGTGTGAATAAGATATCTGATTGGCAGCTGAAGATACTTCAGAATGGCTTGTACTTAACTTATGGCCAAGTGGTTTTTGACAGAAACTACAAGGGAGTAGCTCCCTTTGAAGTGTGGCTACGTAAAAATAAAGATCCCATACAAATTCTAACAAACAACTCTCAAATCCAAACTTTCGGATGGATTTATGACTTTCACGCTGGAGAAACAATTGACTTGATATTCAACAGTGAAGACCAGGTTCTCAAAAATAACACATACTGGGGGATAGCTTTAATACCAAATCATCAATTCATCTCCTAAGGATTTGATTGGTTTCTTCATTCTCTTCAGCATATGCAATGGTGCTTGTGAGGAGTTGGAGCGGGTAGATTGTCAGTGCTTATAGTTTGTCTGGGCATACATACCACCACAAATAGAACTCCTCTGCATGTGAGATTTTCCCTCATGCTTTCTAGAAAGAGACTCAAAGAAAGGGCCAAAGGCTTTTGGTTACCTGAGGTTGGGTCTGTAAAGATACTGCAGTAATCCAAAATAAAATGAGTTGGGGTGGAAGAGGACAGAAAATTCTCAGAGATTCTTTGTCTGAACTTTGAGTCTGTACATAGAAAAATGAAGTCTTATTTCCATGGGCACCTAACTTGGTTTGCAGAAAAAGAGAGGGCAGCAGGCTGTCCTTATTCTCATTTTCTTAAGCTGCTTTACTTTATTCTTCTATATTCCCACCTCCCATCCTCTGAGACTTTATTAATATGGTCAGGCTGGTGAGGAGGCCACAGATATGTCAACAGCACCTTACTTTAGGTGTTGTGCTGTTAGAGGATAGAGAGAACACTGAGAACTATCAGGACAGAAGTGAGGAGGGCAGGAAGTAGAATGTGATTTTTCTGGGAATTTGCCCTGGTTTCATCATACTCAGGATGCAAGGTATTTTATTAAATATTTGGCCAAAGGAATCATTCCGAACCTTTATTGGTGGGTTCACTGTCCATGTCTCTGAACATTGCCAATGGTGAACTAAGTCACTGCAAGTAATCATTACATTTAAACCCAGAAATTGGCATTACTATTGGTGTATTATGTTATTTAATGATTTTGTATTTTGAGCAGGCTTTCCTCAGTTTCCAAAGTGTGTCCACATATCACATGGCAACTTCCTGAAAGCTACAGGTGGCTTTGGCAAAATTTTAGCAGTGAGAACATAGATGCAGATGGACTGGATAGGTATCTTGCCTCACTGAGTAAATGGGCTTTTTGCTGTTATATATTCACACTATCTCAGCTTTATAACTGGTATTTAAGCTGTCATGCTATACATATATAAAATTTAGCAAATTCAGTTTTCAGGAGACGTACCCCCCTTTAGCCCAAGGTGGATGAAGTGAAGTTATAACAGATCTTTCCTTTACCTGCGGTCTTATTTTCCCTGTTCTGCATGGATCAGGGAACTCCAGGGTGCTGCTCAGGACTCGCTCCAACCAAATCCCCTTCCTCACATTAAAGAGCCCATCTCAACGTGCTAACTTCTAAAAATAGCACATAACACTCAGTTCGAAATTTTTGACTCAGTTAAATTAGGTATTTGTGTGTTCTTGTTGAAGGGTCTATAATCAATGTAAATTGTAATCAATTTAAAAGTTTTATGGATAATGGTAAAAAGCCATATTATGTTAATTAATATAATTATAAAACTAACTTAAAGATATTTGTATTGTATTCAGTAAAAATTACTTCGGGCAAGCTAAACTGTTTTTCTTATATTAAAATCTGCTGAGTAGCTGTGCAGCTGTGGACCCACATGTTTGTATACAAAAACTTTTATATTTGCATATGTTCTCGTGAAATTAAATTGTGTCACATATATTTATAGAAACTTGGTTGCATTGATTTTTGTTGTATTAAAAGCAGTAGTATGCTGGAGTGGGCCAGAACTAACTCATATAAGCCAACTGTTAAATTTTCAGGGATTTAATGTGCTGGTTATTACATATAGTCATCATTGAATTTGCCCGTGGTGGGATTATTTACACTGTGGGAATTGGAATAAAGAGTTTATGACAAAGACTACAAATCAGAGCTTTTCTTTCAGACAGCTGCCTGACTAGCACACCACTGTTTATAAAATTTTCCTAATTTAACTCCTCTCTGTTCCTGCTTCATTCCTGTGGATGATCAAGATAGGTTTAGAGAGACAGTGAAATTATCATATGCACAGCCTATGCCCAGCATAGCACTGCTTCTCAGGGCAAGCAGAGATTTTGCACTGCAGGAAGAGGGATGGCTACTGGCAGAAGCTATCCAAATTTTCTTGGTGTTACAATTTCAGCCCTTGTTTACAATATGTGCTCTGTTTCCTTGTCTGTATTTTAAAACAATAATAAAAATGTGTTAGTAATTGGACTGTAACTGACTCATCCTTGGGTTTCCAAACTAGACTTACTGATGCAGAGAAGACAGCTATAACAGAGAAATCCTTGACCATAAAAACACTTCTTGGCAAGTGTTCGGCACAAATGAGAGCTGGGTGCAGTTAGTTTTGGGCCACAGCTGCCCCCATTTCTCAAGAGTGAGACAATTCCTGACTTCCACCCGCCTCAGTGACTCCGCCCTGCCCATTCTTATTATCAAAGCCATTACTGACTTAGATTATTTTTTCCCTTCTGTTTTGCCTTATCGCTGCTGACCAAGCACAGTATAGTAATGAGGATTAAAAATCTGAAGAGAGCAATTAACATATAAGTGATGTAGTCTTGGGTACTTGATGGAGCAGACTCTTTAGATGAGCATATATGTGCATCATGGAGATGAAATTTTTGTCTTTTTGTTCTATCCCAGTGGAGCAATTTCATTGGGGGGGGGGAATTTTTTTAATAGAGAGGAAAAACAAAAATAAGATAGGCTGATAGGTCCGCAGTCTGGGAATAGCCTTGGAGTAGAAACTCTAAATGATGCCTCGCACATACCCATTCCTTGACCTAAAAGGACACATGTCTCTTCTAGGGTTAACCTGTGGCTCCACTGACAGTGACTCCTTAAAAGTCCCTATCTATTCACTGGGGAAGTGTTTGCATGCTTTGTCCTCCAAACTAAGAGAACAGAAGCCCACTTCAATGTGTCAAGAGCCTCCTGCTCCAATACCAAGTTGTCAGCCTTTCCCTTCTGACAGATTTCTTCAGTGAGGCTAGACTCTAGCCCACTGTTAGTTTTAGCTTTTTCAGATGGGTGCCTTGTACCAATTCTTTGTATAACCTAATATCAAGACATATATTTCAAAGCTCTCTGTGAGGTTCCCTTGAAATACCCTTATCAGTCTTGAGTTTAGAAAAGCCCACTGCTCCCCATTCTTCCTTCAAAAGGAGTGGGTAATGGCTCACAGCCGAGCCGCAGTTCTCTGTGAATGTTGTCATCAGTCTGGCCTTCTTTTATATCTGTGATCTAGCTGAAGTATCAAAAAGTGGGTAAGAGGAAGGAGATGACTTTTGGTTTCTTTTATAAATTCGGCATATCGCAGGGGAAGGAACTGTCTTCATCTCACTTTGGTATCTGGGTGGCAGTCATACTGTGCCAGATAAAACTAAGTCAGGAAGAATACTACTTTTTAACATCTAGTTTTACTCTTATATGTCTAAAAGGTATCTATGAGGTATTTATAATAAAAAGCTCCAAGCCACCATCATAAGATCAGCAAACTAAGAGTCAAATTAAAAGGGAGACGGAGAACATGAAGAAAAAAGGAGTAGACTAGGAAGACAGTGGGGAGAGAGGCAGACAGAGAAGCAAGGAGAGAGGGAAATTATTGTTCAGCGAAGCTAGACTTAAGAACTTTATTACAAGTAAACATTAAAAATAGTATTTTAAATTTCTTGATAGTAATGAAAAATTAGAGAAACATGAAGGGGAGAAAATGGTTTCATATCATTTTTCCAGCACCTTGCGTTATGAGGAAAAGACATTTTTTCAAGTGCTGAGCTTTAGACAAATGACAAACTTTAGACACCTGAGACTACTCAGGTGCACCCTGAATATTCTAGATAACAACATTCTATTAACTTTATTCCACTCATTGTACTTGAGTCTACTGAGTTCTGACATCACTTAAAACTTTAAGGAATTCAACAGAGAGAGGTTAGCTGTGCTATCAGTCCAAGACACTCAACAGTATTGGGAAGTTCTATTGTATTATGGAAAACAGAGATTTGTGTACCCTGTCTGAAAGAACCTAGGAAATGTTTAGCAGCAGGAAAAGGAAAATTTAACGGACAGGGTCCATTAGACTAAAAACAACTTTCTTATCTTCCAGTAGGATGAACAAAGTGATCGCATTATCACCTTCTGATTTCAGCACAGGTGATCACTTCTACTCAGGTTTGTTGTGGTCCAGGGGTACCATAGGAATAACACGCTTCTTGCATAGGTGTCTCAACACACAGCGTCTGAGTTAGGCTCATTTGTTCATAAGTGAAGGGGAGAGTTTTAGTCACTGAGAGTGGAACATATACAGAGTCTCTCCATCTTCCTTCCCTCCCTTCCCTGCCGTACAAAATGGATGTACCTCTTGACTGACAGGCTAGTCCCTGAAAGGAACTGGGTGACTAGAGTTCAGGATTTGATAGGCCTCAGCTAAAACCATCATTGTCTGTTGAGTGAACAACACTTGAACCACAAATTTATTGGAGTGTTGGTGTTAGCATAGTATCATCTTGTGTGCTCTGGATTACAGAGTCCAGTGGGCAAGGCCTTCAGCCTCCCTTTCCTCACTGCCTCCCATCCCATCCCTTCCTGTCCTCAAGTGGTTTCTTCCTTCTTCAAAAACCATGCTCAGGACCACTGCTAATGTAATTAAAGAAAAGACACTTAGAAGCTCACTTGTAGTAAAGGAAAGTAGCCTATAGGCTATCCTGCTTCACATCACTGAAATAGGACACAAGCTTATTTGTCTCAAGCTTCCTGGGGAGATGTTTACAATGAGGCAGTTATTTTCATAATATCCTAAGGCAAAACAATTTATCTAATGATCAATGGCAGAGTTTATTAAAGTGGATTCTACCTCAAATTCACTCAGAATCTTGAAAACAGATTTTTGTGAGGATTCATCTATAGTCTGCTGAACAAATATTCTAAGAGTAAGGCTTAGGAACCAAATTTTTAAAAGAATTCTTACCAATAGATTATTTTTTAGGAAAACTAGAATTTAGGAACTATGTTGTGGGTACAACTTTGAATCCCAATGGAACATTTCTCCAAGTATTTATCAAAGAGGCAAATCTCCTAAACAAATAAGCAAAGCAAGATGAGTAAAGAACACTAGCTGGTACTACCCAGGAGCCTTCAATAATGTTTCTGTCTTCACAAAAGCATGTAGCCCTCTGTCTTCCCTGAAAAGTCTGGTCCCTCTGTTTGCACAAACTGATGGCAAATTTGCCGCTGAAATGTTGGCGTATGAGCATTACCACACTCAAAATCACATTATCTACGTAAATGCAGTTAGCTCTAAAATGTTTATCTCCATTCTGAGTTGCTCTTCTGTACTTCAGACTTACAAATCTAAATTTCTGTTAGTCAATTTCACATGGAGGAATGATGGACACTTCAAGATCATCATGTCCAAAATGATTTTTTATTGTTGGCCAAAAGAAGCCCTCCTCATTGCCATTCTATTTCTTGGCCCCAAATGCTCTAAATCATGGAGTTATTTTTGACTTATGTTTTTAAGTCACCTCATCTGTTAGGAAATCATCCTGTCTTCACCTTTACCTTTAAAATAATTGACTTCTTTCTTGCTTCAACTATTGTTTCTGCTGACAAGATTATTTCAATAGCTTCATAACTGGTTACTCAAGTTAGGCAAATTTATTTTCAAGCCCCAGCTTTGCCATTTACTACTTGTTTGGATCTTGGACAAGTAAATATCTCTTTCTGAGATTTAATCTCTTCTTAGTTTTATTGTTTTTTATTCAGTGCCTGATACATAAGTTGGAATAAATCTTTGTTGCATCAAAGAACACACTTAAGTGTGTTTAAAATACTAAATAACATTTGTAAAGTTCCTGATAGTGGATAGTAAACACTAAATCGGTGTTGGTACAATTGCTCTTACAATTATTCAAGACTTGGATTATTTAAAATTTTTTTTTCTTTTAAAAATATATATATATTTTAAATTTTATTTTAAAGAGAATAAAAAACAATGAAAATAATACAGAATTTCAAAATAAGATGATAGGAAATTAACAATGGTTATTATATTGCATATTGTTATCTTCAAAGTAGTTGCTCAGATTATCAGATACAGGCATGCAAAAATTGATCAAACAATATAAGTGCTGTTTCTTTCAATGAACTAATAGAAATTAGTAGTACAGTTATCTTAGCTATCTTATATATATATATACACATACACATATATGGTATATATATCTATATATATATATCTATATATATATATATCTATATATATATATCTCCTTCCTTCTTTTCTCCTTTCCCCTATCCCAGTTTTTCTTTCCTTTTGAGCAGTTTCTTTCCCTTTCACAATATCCACTGTACCTTTCAGATTTTATTTACTCTTTCAGTTTCTTATACTAGGGAGACAATACAATATTTACACAGGTGAGTCTGATTTATTTCATTTATGAGTATGGTCTCTAGTTGCATCCATTTACCTATAAAAGCCTTGAGTTTATCTTTCTTTATAGCTGAGTAGTATTCCATTGTATAAAAATACCATATTTTTTTAATCCATTCCTCAGTTGATGGGTTATTTGCATTTGGGTTGTTTGCACAATTTAGATATGACAAATTGTGCTGCTATAAACATGGGTGCACACAAATCACTGTGGTATGATTTTTAGATTCTTCTGCCTTCTTGAAATTAAGAGATGTTTATTTAATATCTATCACTTAATCCCTGTCCTCTATAGGAAAAAGTAAATCTCAAAATAAAAGCATTTCATTTATGCAATATTGTATCACCAGCACATAGAATAGTAACTGTTATATTAAGAAGCTCAACAAATACTGAAAGGAATGAATAAAATGATAGGACTCTGCTTGCTGGTTAGAAAAACCACTTAAGACATAAGATATATATGTTGCAAACAATGTCTCAACATAACCTGCCTATGTCTATTCCTATAGGTTTTTTAATAAAAAAAAACTCTAATGTGGAGGACCACTTGGGTGACTTTCCTTGAAGGAGGAGCAATTGTTTCCATTTTGGCTGAGCCTGCTCCTATTTCCATACATTGATATGTACAGAGCTGGCTAGGACTTTTCCTTATCCCTTCAATTGGCTTTAAGCAATGCATATCGGTCCAGCTGAGGTGCTGATGGTAGTCTCTGAAGGCAGCAGGCATCTTCCCCCCAGAACACCCCCCCCTCCGACTGTGATTCCCT